AGAAGGGTTTTCCAGCTGTGTCTATTGATAAGTGAGTTCTTACCAGACAGGATGCTATCAAACTAAGTGTCCTTTTACCTCTTCTAGGCTCTTCCCTTTCTCTGGAGGTGATGGGAATATCAGGACAGGATTGTATTCTAACAGCCCCATAGCACCTTATTTCCATGTGACTGGTTTGGAATGTGAGGATGTGACCGTTCACTTCTCAAAGGCCTTACTTAGCCTAAGAACAGAGCCGCAGACTGTCACAGTACGAGAAGGCCCTTACACAGACAGACAGTGATTTTGATTCTCTCTTTCACACCTCTATAACTAGCTAAGTGATAAGAATACACCTAAATTCTTAAAGTATAGGCCTTTACAGACAGGCCTGAATATCTATATCCTAACACTGCCTAGAGCCAGGCCCTGCCCAGGGTGGGGCTTTAGCTGCCCGGGGAGTAACTTTGTGTCGTTCCACAGCGACCCCTGCAGGCTGCCCCTGGAGCCACGTTTCCGAGCTCCACTCCGGCTTCCGGGAGCAGGCAGGGACCAGGGAGCTGTTGTGCTGAGCGTGAGCAGGGGAGCCGGGGCAGGGACAGAACCTCATGGGCACGAGCAGGGACAAGGCCCTGAGCCCCGCTGCTGCGCTGCTCCAGCCACAGAGAAGGAGCTTCTGGGTGTGTCACTTACTGCCAATGAACGGAGGGTTATTCTGCCCCTTGATGGCCCCACACAGACATGGCACCCAATGAAGTCTGAAAGCAACACGATTTAAAGGGACAAAAATAAATATTTTTAACCAACATCTAACTAACCTGTGGAATTCACTGCTGCAGGATATTGTTGAATCTAATTGCTCAGTAAGATTTCTACAAAAAGATCAGACATTTATAAAAATAATAACAGCCCCTGCAGTGACACTACCTGGGATCAAGTTTAAACACTGTGACCGGTTCTCACACTCCAGAGCACAAGCTGATTACAAGCTGGGATCAGGAAGGTTTCCTCTGGGATATAAAATACACAAGTGTTTATTCCTCCCTTTAGAGCAGCTGGAATTTCCCTCCGTTGCAAGCAGCAAGAAAGCAAACTAGACGGCTTGTGCCCACGTGGGCAGTGTCTATGTTCTACACTCACCAGGGATCTCCAGGAGAAGCAGCAGCACCAGGCATGGAAGAGACAATCCAGACACAGGGGTCGACGGAGCCATTTTGTTGTCAGAGGGGCGACCTTTCAACACCGCAGCCTTTGCCAGCTCTCCGTTGTCCAAAGAGATAGTGAGAAGTTTATCATTCAAGATCGGACCTTCCCCCATTGCAGAAGGAAGTGGATTGTGTTAGAGACATTTCCTGCTTCCATCTCTCTGCAGACTCAACTGTTTTTTCCCACCATTAATTTTACTTCTCACAGCGAAGCGGCTGCTGTCCTGTGTTCTCTCTTGAAGCCTCATGTAATCCAGCCTTTGATTGCCATGCGCTGAAGCACCCAGGCTAACGCTGCTGGGATATTGAAGGGTGGAGAGAGGGGTCCTGGCAGAGCTGCTCTTTGGGAAGGGAATTCCCTGACAGTGTTGAAATCTCCCTCCTGAACACCAAACCAGAGCATTTACCAGCCACTGCACGTTCAGAAACACTGTCCACAGAGACGTCTGAAAGCTGGGCCCAGAGACCCCTGTTCTGGAGCTAGGACCTGCCTATGACTGCTACCAGAGAGGGTCCTTCAATACTGGCCTCAATGGGGGGATGGCACATGGCCACTCCCGGCACCTGATCTGTTAATTAGAGATGGGCTGGGCAGGGAGAGGGTGGATCTGGATTAGGTCCAGGCTGGAGTTTGGCTTTGGGAGTTAGTTTGGCTTAGTTTGGCTGAGAGGAGAAAGAAGGTCTGTGCCTAAAGCACTGGACTGGGATCCAGGAGATGTTCAATTATCTGTGACCTCGGGGAAGTCGCTGAGTCCTTCAGGGCCTCCATTGCCATCTTAAAATTGCCTTTGTCTGACTTGTCTGCTGGAGACACCTGACCACTCCCCAGGGGACAGGCTGGGGGCTAGCTGCTGTATGAGACTCGCTGCCAACTTCTCCCCTTCTCACACAGGGCTGGGCTCAACATAACCACCCCAGAGCTTCCCCTGGGCAGGCAGGACACTGGGCAGTGGGGCGCCAGGCTCCCTCGTCATGCTGCAGAGAGACGGCGCCTGCACCTGCTCTGGGCAGTGACCACAGCGCCTCTCTCCCGCTCACCCCCCTGCACAGCTGGTTCCTGCCTCTCCCCCCAGTACACAGCTGGTTCTAGGTGCCCAGCTCACATCTCCCCCGGCACACAGCTGCCCCTTGCCCCAGCTGCCTGCAGGCTCAGGGCAGGTCCCTCACAGCTAGAGCCTCTCCCCACCCTCCTGCAGGCAGCTGGCTCCAGGTGTTTGCTGCCAGCGCCAACCGCGCCTGCCCCCGTTCCCTTGTAACACAGCTGGCGCTGGGCTCTCCGCTCTCACCTGCCCACCCCAGACAGCCATTCACCTACAGCAGC